AAAAAAAAAAAAAAAAAAAAAAAAAAAAAGAAGAAAGAAAATTAGCTGGGCGTGGTGGCGGGTGCCTCTCATCCCAGCTCCTGCCAAGGCTTGAAACACTTGAACCGGGGAGGCAGATGTTGCAGTGAGCCAAGATCGCGCCATTGCCCTTCTGTCTGGGCAGCAAAAGCGAAACTCCGTCTCAAAAAAAAACAAAAAAAGAGAGAGAAAGGAAAAGGCTGCAGCTGGACCCTGGCACAGCCTGGTCATTCATTACACAGCAATGGTAACTTCCCAAGAACCCTCTCCGTGAAGGGGGATCATCATGGAAAGTGCTAGAAACAAGGCAGCTGAGCGTAAGAGTGCAGATGCTATCTCTGAGCCTGTTCCCCATTTGGGAGATGAGTGTAATTGCCTACAGGGAATGTTCACTTACTTAACAGATAGGTACTTTGTAACCACCTGCAGTCCCAGTTTCCAGGGATGGATGTAGCAATGAAGAAACAGACAGAAGTCCCTTCACTCATGGGAGTGATTTGGCAAGTGGAGATAAAGAGCAGGAAGCAACATGAAAATAACACTTCCGTTGGGGGTTGATGTGAGCAGTGAGTAAGTTTATACAGGTAGGAAGAATTAGAGCTGTGTCGGGCACACGGGAATAACTCAATAAAGGTTAACTCGGCCGGTCACAGTGGCTCACACCTGTAATCCAGCACTTGGGGAGGCCGAGGCGGGCAGATTACCTGAGGTCAGGAGTTCGAGACTAGCCTGGCCAACAAGGTGAAGCCCTGTCTCTACTAAAAATCCAAAAAGTAGGCTGGGTGCGGTGGCTCACGCCTGTAATCCCAGCACTTTGGGAGGTCAAGGCGGATGTGTCACGAGGTCAGGAGATCGAGACCATCCTGGCCAACATGGTGAAACCCTGTCTCTACTAAATACAAAAAAAAAAAAAAAAGCTGGGTGTGGTGGTGCGAGCCTATAGTCCCAGCTACCTAGGAGGCTGAGGCAGAAGAATCACTTGAACCTGGGAGACAGAAATTACAGTGAGTCGAGATGGAGCCACTGCACTCTAGTCTAAGCAACAGAGCCCGGCTCCATCTCAAAAAAAAAAAATAGTGGGGCATGGTAGTGGGCACCTGTAATCCTAGCTACTTGGCAGACTGAGGCAGGAGAATCGCCTGAACTCGGGAGGCAGAGGTTGCAGTGAGCTGAGACTGCACCACTGCACTCCAGCCTGGTGACAGAGCGAGACTGCGTCTCACAAAAAAAGAAAAAAGAAGGTCTTCTCTAAGCCCCTGGGCTCCTCCAGCACTGGCCAAGCCACTGTGGCTGTCACAGGTCTGGTGCGCTCACTAATGTCCTCAGCACACTCTGCAAGTGTCCAGGCTCAGTGCAAAAGCTCAGAGGACCTTTTGTTGAGCAGGCTCAAGGCTGAGAACTTGCCAGGGGCCTCAAGAGAAAAGGGACATCACTGCTTCTGCCACTGAGAACAAAGGGGCTTCTGTTGCCCAGAAATGGGTGGTGATGCTGGAGGAATTAGTAATGAATCCTGAATCCTGGGCTGGGAGGCCACCTCTCTCTCTCTCTCTCTCTCTCTCTCTCTCTCTCTCCCCCCCTCCTTTTCTCCCTCACACACACACAGACATACACACGACTAATGGTAACACACAGTGATCACCCTCACCCATTTACACGTTTGCACATCCAGACTAACCCGACCCAGCCAGAGACAACACATCAAACACGCCTTTATTCAGCCACAGAGCGACACAAAAGCACGCCTTGTTCTCAATACACCACAGCCCTGGCCGGGCACGGTGGCTGACACCTGTAATCCAAGCACTTTGGGAGGCCAAGGCAGGCGGATCACTTGAGGTCAGGATTTTGAGACCAGCTTGGCCAACACAGTGAAACCCCATCTCTACTAAAAATACAAAAATTAGCTGGATATAGTGGCGTGTGCCTGTAGACCAGCTACTTGGGAGGCTGAGGCAGGAGAATCACTTGAACCCAGGAGGCGGAGGTTGCAGTGAGCTGAGATCACACCACTTCACTCCAGGCTGGGCAACAGAGCGAGTCTCCGTCTCAGAAAAATATTTGAGTGGTAGTGAGCGCCTGTAATCTCAGCTACTTGGGAGACTGAGGCAGGAGATCTCAGCTTACTGCAACCTCCGCCTCCAGGTTCAAGCAATTCTCCTGCCTCAGCCTCCTGAGTAGCTAGGACTACAGGCACCCGCTCAAGCCTGTAATCCCAGCACTTTGGGAGGCTGAGGCTGGTGGATAACCTGAGGTCAGGAGTTCAAGAGCAGCCTGACCAACATGGAGAAAACCTGTCCCTACTAAAAATACAAAATTCATCAGGCATGGTGGCCCATGCCTGTAATCTAAAAAAAAAAAAAAAAAACAACGAAAAACAAAAAAACCCCGTGGCACTGTCAGACTTCACTGGACAGAAACATGGCACTTAAATTTCCACCTTTTCTTTTTGTTTGCTGGGAAACTGCCCTGTTTGACCCCATCCACACCTTGGGATTATTTTTCCCTTATGATCCATTGTGTATCCATCCCATGTCACCACAATAAATCAACCATATGCTGATTCCTTTGGGTGCTGGTGACTCTCCCAACTTGAATATGGTTTGGGGACCCTGACACAACTGGTCACCCTGGTCAGACTCAGATGGAGAGGGAAGGACAGGGAAGAAAAAATAATAAACCACTCTACACACTTTCATTGTGTTTGGGCTTGCGGGAGAAAGGCTGGCAGGAATATCACTTTAGGGAATAAAAATTCTACTACACAGGGCGGGTGTGGTGGCTCACGCCTGTAATCCCAGCACTTTGGGAGGCTGAGGCAGGCAGATCAGCTGAGCTCAGGAGTTCCAGACAAGCCTGGCCGACATGGTGAAACCGTCTCTACTAAAAATACAAAAATTAGCCGGGCCTGATGGCAGGCACCTGTAGTCTCAGCTACTGGGGAGGCTGAGGCAGGAGAAACACCTGAAGCCAAAAGTCGGATCACACCATTGCACTCCAGGCCGGGTGACCAGAGCAAGACTCCGTCACAAAAAAAAAAAAAAAAAAGAAAGAAAAGCTTACTGTTGAGTCGTTTATATTAATGAATAAAATTTCGAACGTTATTCATTTTCACAAAAAACGTCTATAAAACCACATGGCAGTTATCTGA